CCCCGGGGCCCAGCCACTGAGGAGCTTTTTAACCACCTCAGCGACCTCTGCCTCAGAGATAGGGGAGTCCACACCCAAGTCCCCATACTCTGCTTCCACATTGAAAGGCGTGTCGGTGGGATTGAGGAGGTCTTCGAAATACTCCTTCCACCGACCCAAAATGTCCCGAATTGAGGTCAGCAGCACCCCATCCCCACCATAAACAGTGTTGATGTTGCACCGCTTTCCCGCCCGGAGCCACCGGATGGTGGACCAGAACCACCTCGAAGCCATCCAGAAGTCCTTTTCCATGGCCTCGCCAAACTCCTCCCACACTCTAGTTTTTGCCTCAGCGACCGCCGAAGCTGCATCCCGCTTGGCCTGCCGGTAGCTGTCAGCTGCCTCTGGAGTCCCACAGGCTAAAAAGGCCTTCTTCAGCTTTACGGCATCCCTCACCACCGGTGTCCACCAGCGGGTTCAGGGATTGCCGCCGCGACAGGCACCGACCACCTTACGGCCACAGCTCTGGTCAGCCGCCTCCACAATGGAGGCACGGAACATGGCCCATTTGGACTAAATGTCCCCCGCCTCCCTCGAGACATGGGAGAAATTTTGCCGGAGGTAGGAGTTGAAACTCCTCCTGACAGGGGATTCCACCAGACGTTCCCAACAGACCCTCACTATACACTTGGGCCTGCCAGGCCTGGCCGGCTTTCTCCCCCACCAGCGGAGCCAGCCCACCACCAGGTAGTGATCAATTGACAGCTCCGCCCCTCTCTTCACCCGAGTGTCCAAGACATGCGGCCGCAAGTCCGATGACACGACTACAAAGTCGATCATCGAACTGCAGCCTACGGTGTCCTGGTGCCAAGTGCACATATGGACACCCTTATGCCTGAACATGGTGTTCATTATGGACAATCCCTGACGAGCACAGAAGTCCAACAACAAAGCACCGCTCGGGTTCAGATCGGGGGGGCCGTTCCTCCCAATCACGCCACTCCAGGTCTCACTGTCATTGCCCACGTGAGCATTGAAGTCCCCCAGCAGAACAAGAGAGTCCCCGGGGGGAGTGCTCTCCAACACCCCTTCCAAGGACTCCAAAAAGGGTGGGTATTCTGAACTGCCGCTTGGCGCATAAGCGCAAACAACAGTCAGGCACCCGTCCCCCCACCCGAAGGCGAAGGGAGGCTACCCTGTCGTCCACTGCGGTAAACCCCAATGTACAAGCGCCCAGTCAGGGGGCAATAAGTATGCCCACCCCCGCTCGGCGCCTCTCCCCGCGGGCAACTCCAGAGTGAAAGAGGGTCCAACCCCCCTCAAGGAGACTGGTTCCAGAGCCCAAGTCGTGCGTCGAGGTGAGCCCGAACTATATCTTGCCGGAACTTCACAACCGCACGCACCAGCTCAGGCTCCTTCCCCATCAGAGAGGTGACATTCTATGTCCCTAGAGCTAGTTTCTGCAGCTGAGGATCGGACAGCCAAGGTCCCCGCCTTTGGCCACTGCCCAGCTCACATCGCACACGACCCTTATGGCCCCTCCTATAGGTGGTCAGCCCACTGGAGGGGGACCCACGTGCCTTGTTTGGGCTGTGCCCGACCAGGCCCCATGAGTACAGGCCTGGCCACCAGGCACTCGCCATCGAGCCCCACCCCAGGCCTGGCTCCGGGAGGGGGGGGAGGTGATCCGCATCATTTAAAACTATAGGAGTTCAATCTGTTTTACTTACCCTATACCGAAAAAGAGCACACATACCGGTATTTAAAGAAAAAGTGCATCAAATGCAGTCTGGATACCTCTATATCAGGGGTGGCCAACCTTATCCGCAAAGGGCTGGTGTGTATGCAGGTTTTCGCTGCAGCTCCCTAAGTATATTACTAATTAGAGGACTGATTGACTGAGGAGTCCTCACATCTGGGTTTGAACAGCTGACCTAAAGGTTACCCCAAAAACCTGCATACACACCAGCCCTTTGCGGATAAGATTGGCTACCACTACTCTGTATGGTCGGTGTAATTAAATTACACAATCATTCAATTACGAGAGTCTCTATCCATGCCTTAAGCAAACCCCAACCCGTGTATAACTTGGCTTTCCCTAACAGAGGAAAATCCCTTTCGTCGATTTCACTGAGCTGTACTGTCATCTCGTGGTGATATGAAGAATCACATTTACACATATGTGTTCTATTTGAAGATGTAGATGATACACATTCTCCAGCAAGAATAAACAGCTGCCTATGGCCGCTGAATTACCTGCCTTGCAGAAGAAGTGAAATTATCGTCAGTCTGCTTGGTGGTGCTGCAGTTTTTACAGCAGGCCTGATTTTTTACAGTGTAAATAAAACTGTAGGCCTACCTACGACCTACGACTAGGCATAAGAGCTGCTTGGCTGAGCTTCCAGTGAATGCCCAGGTATAGCTGTATCCAGCACTGGAGCAAATAGCAGCTTCACCTGCACGATCAAACCACTGTGGACATAAACACCCACAATGGCATCTTAAAGCAGCAACGAGGTTTCCAGCCCTAATCTCTCTGTAATGTCCTTTACACATTACGCTGGAGTCAAAAACTAGCAAGTACAATAAAAGTAGGCTAATTTAGTGTGAAGAAATCAATAATTTGGAAAATGAAATTATGCCATGTAAACGTTACTCGTTCGATTTGTGTTTACCTAGGATATGATTAAGATGGAGCGCATCTGAGCGACAAAAAACTGGGCTGCCGTCGCAATCTATGTTGAAAGGGGAAGTAAATTATGGACCTTCGAGGAAGAAAAAAATAGTGTAACAAACCTCTGTTGGTATTAAAGGTATATCCTTTAGCTATCCTAGCCACCATCCCCAAAGGTTATCCACCCAGCAAGCCCAATGGATACACGCCACCAATTCAGGGATCAAATACTTTGGGAACAGCTGTGTGCAGGACCGGAAAGCCCTCCAGAGAGTGATCCGGGCAGCTGAACGCTGCTGCAGGTTAGCTCTCCCCTCCATGCAGGACATTTACATCAGGAGATGTAAGACCAGGGCAGCTGGGATCATTAAGGACTTGTCTCACCCCAATAACAGACTGTTCAAACTCCTGCATTCAGGCAGAAGGTTCCGTGTCATTATGGCCAAGATGGAGAGACTCAGGAGGAGTTTCTATCCCCAGGTGATTCAACTCCTCAACCAGGACATGCCACTCTCCTGGTCATAGTGTTATGGTTATTAGTTCAACCTTACACTGCTGTGCTGACACTGCACACTGCATTTTAACTGGCTATCATGCCACTCTCCCGGTCATAGTGTTATGGTTATTAGTTCAACCTTACACTGCTGTGCTGACACTGCACACTGCACTTTAAACTAGCTATAAACATTTTTTTGCACAGTATTTCATTTCATCCTATAAATTGTATATACTATCTTTGTAAATTCATAGGTTTTCTTTTTTCTGTTTTGCACTCTCTATAATTTATTTACAGTATATTTTACAATTTATTTTCTAGTTTCTTTATTTGCACAAAGTATGAGCAGTTCAGGATGCATTTCACTGCATGTTGTACCTGTATAATTATGTATGTGACAAATAAAGAATCTTGAATCTTGAATCTGTGAACCAAATCCTTCCCACAATAAAAATGATCCGAACACAGTGTCGCACTAATGAATCCACAGGGTGTCTACCTATATTTCTCCCACAAACTATCGTCCAATGCGACACTAGGAAAACCTGAGGTCAGAAAGCACCGCCAGTGAGACTGAGCCCGCCATGATTAAGGGTCTAGGATAACTGTAGTGTTCAACTCCACGATGAGAAAGCTGCGTATATTATATGTGCATGAAATATTAGGTGGAGAAGCCGACGCTGCAAGCAGGATTCCCATTGGATTTCGAATCCAACGCCTTGACCACTCGGCCATCGCAACACCGATATAGCAGCTATTGACAATCAATCAATAATAACTTAATTGAATAACGTGAAGTATAATGTGACTATATAGGAAACTAAAATTAAAATTTAGACGTTTAATATGTGTACGTGTAAAAGGATACACACACAAAGGATGTTTAATGTCTTATTCCACTCTTAAAAAATGCTTCAAAATTAAGTTACCTAGCGAAAGCCAATTAAGCACTGAGTCGGACTTATGAGACATGGTCAGTGGCCCTGCGTCACTGGTGGCTTTTTAGGTAGATCGTGATTAAAAATATGGATTTGACATAATTATAGAAAATTCCAAATCATGTATGAACTGATTTTGATTAATAGGAAACAAAACCGGAGGTATTATCGCCAAGTATATGAATCTATCTGTAACAGACTAACAAGATAATAATCCATGTCAGGAAAAACACTTTGAGCTAGGACAGAATTTGTAAACTGACGTTTCTTTTAAAAGGACCAGGATTTCATTTAAACACTGTTCTTGCTTTGAGCTGACTGGTCTTTCCGCCAAGGAAACAAACCAAAGTAGGCCTACAAAAAACGTAACTATTTAGCCAAGTAGGCCTAGTTAATAAAATCTGAAGTAGCTCAAAGTGTCGTCCCTGGCAATTGATTATCCGGTAACTCTGTTCTGTAAAGATGGAAAATCTCAGCATCACCCTTGACAGGCAAAAGCAGTTAAGCGACAACAAATATCACCAGATGGGGGCGGTATAACGTTTATTATTCACTATGAAAGGGCGATTTACACATCACATACATAAGTGTGCATATATGCAATAGAAATGACAATAGGCCTAACGTTTGGGTGTGAAACCTCTGCAGGCTTTATAACTTCATAAAATCGTAAGATGGACTTCATTAATGCATCTTTGTTTTCTATTTTTCGAATTATTTAACAATTTAACTAAATTCTGAAAACTAATACAATTTCAAAAAAATTTGTTAAAGCACCATCCGCTTTTCATCCGCGGTGAATACATGCGGAAATATGTGCTTACGACCGAGACAGTGGATCCTTGACAGTTCATTTTTTTCCCCATATCTTGGATGTCTATGATGTTCCTAATAGCATCGCCCCGCCCCATGCCCCAGTGGGGGAAGCACGTTGCGGCGTTGATAGGCAGGGCTGCATGCGAAGGCGGTCTGCAAACACCTCCAGAAAGCCGGGGGTCTCATTTAATGGAGCCTTAATCTAGAATATTTCTTAATTGCACTTGCCGGTTTCAGGATTACGATCTTTCTGCCTGCTGCTGCTGGGACGGATTTGTCAGCGAGATGTGGAGATGTGCGCTCGGCCGCCTTCTCATGCTCAGCGCCGCGTGTATGCATGTCACTGCGCAGAGTAAGGTAAGGGATGCAGTGTGTGTGTGTGTGTGTGTGTGTGTGTGTGTGTGTGTGTGTGTGTGTGTGTGTGTGTGTGTGTGTGTCTGCCTCTCACGGACACCTGTAGCGCGTGTAAGCCTGGTTAAACACAGCGTGCATGTTAAAATCGGACCCAAGTCTGCCTCCATTAGGAGGCTCACATTGTCATTTAAACACGTAATCTATTTAAAAGCCAAATGATCATAAAACAAACTTGGGTAATTTGTAATAACTAGAGTCATAATATGTGCGATCAAAACAAATTTCTGCGCCTTACGCAAAACTTACCTGAGGCTACTGCGCCTTATATTAATAAGAAGCTTATTGTAATATATTGTAACCGGGTAACGACGCTTCCTGTCTTGGATATTGAAGTCTGCGGATGGGAAACTGTGTGCGGCTATGTGGACCTGTCTGCTCCTGAAGCTTTCCATTACAGCCCCTGTTTTGCGATATCTCCACCCTTTATATCTGGGGCGTGTCAATTACTTTTTTCTTTAATATCTACAAAAGCAGGACTCACATGATAAGGCTGCAGGTGGTCTGTGAGCCCGGCTCCAGCGCTTATAGTCCGCCTACGGAGCCGCGCTGCAGCGCCCAAAGGCAGGGAAATAGCAACAATACTGCCTCTATTGAGACACAGTGGGGCACGTTTTCATATTCATGTAATAATGATTATTCTTATTATTAATTTGATCATTTTAGCTGTACTCATCACGCCTTGGATGTTTTTCTTTGCTCTCTGCAGTGCTACGAGTTTGAGGTCTCAGCGTTGTCGCCATTTCTTGCCCATTTTCTTTTACTTTTAAATTCACAGCAACTTGCATCTGTCAAAACAGCCCGCGCTTAAACGTCGTCTTAGCGTTAAATGTATTTCTGCGGGTGTGATATTACATATTCATTACTGTAAATAACATAATCGAGCGGCTGAGGAAATCCATTAATTTATCCATTTAATTTAGAAAACTTATGCGACGTCTTATTTTGAGTAAGATGTACCTGCATCGCTTCGAAAATGATGGTTATGCTGGGAAGTGATAGAGTATAGAGAGGCTATGGAAGAGGAAGATGGGGAAAGGACGGGAAGTAGAGGAGAGAAAAGGGAAGAGAGAATGAAGAGTAGAGAAGAAGTCGACTGGAAATAGCAGAGGAGGGAGGTTAGCATGAAGCATAACTACAGAATGTTTTAAAAAATCATATCTCAGCTGGTCAGTAGGAGGCGTTGTCTGTAGAGCGGGAGCTACTCGGGAACATCAGATGGAGACGATGGGAAACAGCCTAGAGTTTGGCATGGCGTGACGACCATGGCCCATGCAGCACCTGAACAATGAGAGACCTCATTTCTGGGCAGGAGTGGGGAGCACATTCACCGAAACAGAGATACATTGCTGATGTTTGCCTACAGAGCACTTAATTACTCAGACACACACCACACGCCAGGGCACACCTCCATTCACAGTGAGCACTAAGATGTTGAATACACACACTCAAACCCACCCCTTTAATTGACATCGGCATATAGACTATAAACCGATTAAGCGTAGCTAAACACCATCCCATATGGATGTAATTCAGGCTTTTATTAATAAAACATTTTGTTGGCTTGGTTTAACAGTGCTCCAGAGTTACCTGGCATGGCCCTCCCTGGTGAACCCTCCCCCCCATTCTGCAGTTTATAGCGTGGATGCATCGGCCCCTGCGTCTGCACAGCTGTCTGGCGCACTCTCCAGATGTGTGCTAAAGTGACGCTAAAACAGTGTCTTTCCCCCCTTTCTGCTCCTTTTTTGGTGTGTAGGTGTTTGTCTTATCCGGACTCCCATCCACCCAAGCAGCTGCTGCTGTATTTCTGCAACCGGTTCTTCAGTAAAATATTTATGAACCTTTTTGGGGGAAAAAAGGCTGCAGATTATACAGCTCAATTGGCTAGTAAATTAAAAACTGGAAAAGTGGGCACTTCTGGCCCCCGTCTTGTGCCAAGGAGCTGCACCCCGGCTGCATCCCCCTGTCGCCTGTCCATCGTCATCCCAAGGGGGGGGCTCTTTTTAAGCCTGGGATTTGCAGGTCAGCCTCAGGGCATCTTCCACAGCTGTGTGACATTCACTCTCTCCTTTAGCAAATTTACAGCTGTCTGCTTGCAGCTGTTAACCTGTATTTTTTTTTATCTCAATTGCTGTTGTTATCTTTTAATTTGTTGATGAATTTTAATTTGTTTTTCCGCCTCACAGTACAGCAGCAGCTGAAGGGCTGAGACAGTCTGAGACTGCAAACGTTGGCACCGGTAATGCTCTAGTGCCAGGCTACAGTATGAGTAAGATAATATGAATTAACGGCTCATCAGAGACTAATCGGTGCCCCTGGCGAAACCCTCTTCATCACCGGAGCAGGCAGTGACACAGATGGAGGCTTCCTAACCATATATGGACATTACGACCTTTAACAATTGGCTTGCGGACTGCCTGCAGGAATGCCAATAGGGTAGTCTTCTGTGCAGAGGTGACTGTGCCCATGGGGTGCACACTATGTGGCTCAATGGGTTATAACAATGTACCTGTGAACAGAAGGTCATTGGTTCTAATCCCAGGGTTAGCAGAGTGATGTCACCATTGGGCTTCTGAGTGAGGCCCATAACCCTAAATACTCTAGGGCCCGTCTCACCCTGCTTTCTCAGAAACATGCATCACTTAGGATGCATGCTGCCATTCCGCTGCCTCTCGTGTTTTAAAAGGGTCTCACTGAATCCATGGAGAGTCGCATATGTTCCACATATCTGCATCCCACTGTTAATGATGGCCTTACTTTAGAACAGTGTTTCCCAACCCGATACTCAGGGACCCACAGACAGTCCATGTCCCGGTAGGGAGCTGAGAAGGAGTGTAAACGTGGACTGTCTGTGGGTCCCCGACGACCGGATTGGGAAACACTGATTTAGAACACCGGCTACTTATTTGGTCTTCAAATACTTTTTCCGACTTTTCTCCTCCTACATGAACACAAACCAGCCTTGCTTGTCAGTCCCCTTCAGTTCAGAGCCCACATTCTTTCTGTGTTCCTCTGAACCCAGAATCTGTTTATCCATTAAAATTCCAGATCATTCCATTTTCCCCATCCTGTTGCCTGTCATTCCCCGCATCCGCTCCAGTGTGTGGAGCTTTTGTTGACTGGCAGTGTCTCCCTCCTGTATCTTTATGGTGTTAGGGCTACCGGCTCTTCTCAGAAACCAAAGGCCCCCATGCAGCCCCATTACATGCTCGCACCATCCATGGTTCAAACAAGGAATCTCCCCTTTAGAGATGAGCTCTCACAAGCAAGCTTAGGTCCTCATTAACTCTTTAACTCTTCTCAACAGTCACCAGTGGCTTTGTATCTGAGGCAGCTATGAAATATCCCCTACCAAGTCAAGTTGAGTAGGCTTCAGTTTCATACCATCTACTCATGGTTACACAGCAGTATGAAATAATATCACCTCCAGGACCACAGTGTGACATACAGACAGCAGTGATGGGGGAAGATTTGTACAGGACTTAAAGTGTAAAAACGGGACAGTGTGAAACAGGGGCACTGGACATGGGTTTATATACCTGGTAACTAATAGCATATCATGAACTGGGAATATTCCATACACAAGAATTTTTCACTGGGACCAATGTTACATTTCTTATCTAATTGAAGCAAATATAAATATGCCTCCAGTCAGTTTAGGATGCATCGTACAGCTTTGCAGTTAGTCGAAGTACGAGAGACATTAGTCTTGCTTCTAAAGAGCTTCTGTATCTCCATAGTCTTCAGCGAGGGGGGCATGGGAGGTGAGATACAAGCATTCAGAATCCTGAGAGGCACAGACAAGGTCAACCCTGCTTACTTTACACTTAGAGCTGATTTAAGGACGTGCGACCACAATTGGAACACTGTCAGGGATCTGTTTGGGTAAGACGAAACAAGTCAATGTGTTTTTGTACACAGAGTGTTGGAGGGTTTATAGTTAACAAACAGATAAGTGAAATTAAACACTCCATAAATTTTTGACATGACTTAGAAGTCCAGTGTCTATGGGAGCAAGGTGGCCTTATGTGGCTCTGAAGTGTCGGGTTAGGCTCTCTGCCGTGTGCTGGCCATGTCACCATGGAGATGTTGGGGGATGGCATGGGTGATGGGAACATGCCCCCCCCCCAGGGTGTGGGCTAAATTGATGCCTGGTATCTCTGCTTGGGGGGAGGTTCATATGGCAGTAGGAAATAAACACCACAGTGCCGTGATGGAGCACAGTGTTCCCGTGATGGAGGATGGTGTTCCCGTGATGGAGGAAGGTGCTCCCCTGATGGAGGACGGTGTTCCCCTGATGGAGGAAGGTGCTCCCCTGATGGAGGACGGTGTTCCCGTGATGGAGGACGGTGTTCCCGTGATGGAGGAAGGTGCTCCCGTGATGGAGGACGGTGCTCCCCTGATGGAGGACGGTGTTCCCGTGATGGAGGACGGTGCTCCCTTGATGGAGGACGGTGTTCCCGTGATGGAGGACGGTGCTCCCCTGATGGAGGACGGTGTTCCCGTGATGGAGGAAGGTGTTCCCCTGATGGAGAACGGTGCTCCCGTGATGGAGGAAGGTGTTCCCGTGATGGAGGACGGTGCTCCCGTGATGGAGGAAGGTGCTCCCCTGATGGAGGACGGTGCTCCCGTGATGGAGAACGGTGTTCCCGTGATGGAGGAAGGTGCTCCCCTGATGGAGAACGGTGTTCCCGTGATGGAGGACGGTGCTCCCGTGATGGAGGACGGTGTTCCCGTGATGGAGGACGGTGCTCCCCTGATGGAGGACGGTGTTCCCATGATGGAGAACGGTGCTCCCCTGATGGAGGAAGGTGTTCCCCTGATGGAGGACGGTGCTCCCCTGATGGAGGACGGTGTTCCCGTGATGGAGAACGGTGCTCCCGTGATGGAGGACGGTGCTCCCGTGATGGAGGACGGTGCTCCCGTGATGGAGGACGGTGTTCCCG